AATAGCCTTATGGTACTATTAATCTAAAGTAAACTGTGTCATTTCGGACATTTACCTCCAATAAATTTACTTGGTGCTTGTCATACAAGTCATTACAGTCTTGAACTTTATGTCTTACGAGGAGTTTTCTTGATAGGTAACTTTCATATATATTAATTTGCTACCACGCAGAATTAAATACATATTTTTGTAAATATTGTGGTATCTAAGATTTGTTAAGATTATAACGCCTGTTCAAAAACTGGCTTTGTATACGAAAATAAATGTCCCAAGCCAAGGAGGAAAATATGTTCTTTTATTTCAGAGGGAAAGTAAAATTAAATGATGTTACCTTCGACCTGTTTCATAATATAATATTATGACTTGTTTTGCTAACTGGAAACACTCTCCTATCTCCTCTGCGTCCTTGCGAGGATCACCCCAACCGACCAAACTATTTCTTTGTACCCGATCCCATAGTTTTCAAATTAAATTAAAGGAGTTTGGAGGCAATATGAATACGCATTGACCGCAGGACTTAACTTTAAGGTTAAGTAAGGGATGAGCGTATAAGGCTAATTATTTAACGAAGATTAAGTACATAGCAAAAGTTTAACTAACTAATCTAATAAGCAGAAATTTGTATAAGTAGTTTATGGTTTACAACGAAGGCAGGTAATCACGTTATTCGCGAGGTTTCAACGGCTTCGATCTTCACTACATTTAGTAAGTGATTTGTGTAAGTGTTAAGTATTATTAGAACCTCGGATCAAGGCAAGAAAAAACACTTATTTATTTCAGCAGTATTTGGTGCGAGTTATTTTTACGTTAACGCGATTGAAACGTTACGGGTTGAACTGTCTGATTGGTTGGTTGAGTTAGAATGAGCCAATCAGAGCGCCGGACGTCATAAACGGAGCAATCGCGTTAACTTAAAGAAAATTAGCATTATGCACTCTGTACGTTGCGAACGAACCGAATTAAACGGTGCGATCTCATTATAACAACGCGTTCATTGATTTTATTCCGCTATCAATAATGACGTTACCACCCTATCGGAATAATTTATTCACAGTATTTAACAGCGATTAATAAATTGATGACAGTGTATACGTGCGCGTAACTTAATTTATAGTAGCGATACGTACTTGGCATATACATAAGTATCTTGAGTATCGATGCTAGTGTCGATTTCACACTACTATGTAGGTAACCTCCCGATATTATTATCGCCAATTATTTCCTGGTTAATGAGGCCTTCTAACAATACCAATAATAGCTGCATCTATTAAAGTCTTAGTATTGTATTACCGGATACTAAATTATATAACGAGATCCAAATAAATCATCAATTTTTGGAAATAAATATCAACAACGTCAGTTTCTTACACGACTTAAAAGCTATCTCCTACCTTTAGTTGGTTGCTAGATTTGCCTAATTACTATCTTAGAATCCCAACCTTCTGATCATTCCACGTTAGCAGTTCTATTATGATCACTCCAATTCAATCTACTTATCACTTATTCCAAACTTCTACATCTCATAGGTTCAAAGTCCCGTCCAAGTCCGGGATCTCGCCGGGACTTAGTAGTTGTAACAAATGGAAACTGTAAGAGTTGCCCGGGACTTATTTACCGACACCACCGCAGCATAAATACACGAAAGGATTAAAGTATTCACTAAAGTAGGAAATATGGCAGAATGGACTTTCTGTACCGTACGTACGGTTTGGTGTTACAGTTGGTCGCTTAGGTAAATAGTGACCTCAAGACAGTTAAAATTTTAAGCAGGATAAAAATTTTGTAGAGGAAAAACCAACAGTTTTTTAGAAAACTTAAAAAATATTTTAGACTTTGTTTATATGAAAACTGATCTACATATGCATAGCTGGTTGTAGACCACTTTCCAATTCCGCTAAGAAAGATGACTGATCTCAGTGTACTTAATAAGTTAGTTATTATTTGAGATAGAATATCAGTAACATACTAATGTATTGAAAATGATGCGCTATGGAATCGGGTAATTAATTAAAACGTGGCATGAGTGACAGTGACATCTGACAAACATTTTGACAATAACGTTAACTGACGTTACTGACAGATGACACTTTATAGTCGTGGTTTGTGTTGCCAACTAACAATGAGTGTTATCTCTCATGAAATTGATACTACTTTTAATTCTTTGAATTGTATTGAAATTGTTGCTTAATTTAATTTATTTTTTGCACGGATTCACGAAGTCCGATTTTTCCATAAACATCATTCGCCATATGTTTGCGTTCTACAATGACAGTCGATAACAAAAGCTGGTTCATTTCGTTCACAAAGTGAACGCCATATTGAAATGTTCCAAACTCGTATTTGTGAGTACCCCGCCCTAACGTTATGTATTTCGTATTGGTCAGATGTTAAGATAAAATTCACGTTTCAATATGTGCTGAGCTTTAAATATATTTGAAAAGTTTTACGACAGTATTGCTGCTTTGTCACGGAAATGTTAGCGAAACTGAAATACAGATCACATTCGAATAAATGAAAAGTTTTTGCTGTTGATTTTATTACGATTGATTTTGTGTCAAATACGATTTGTAAGATTCGGAAATAAATAGAACTAAAAGGAAATGAAACGATATTTTATTCTGGCAGTCTAATTTAAAATATTAGCCTGTCTCGCTACGGGCGGAGATTCGTTAAATAAGATCTGTTTGCAGTTGTAAAGTTTAATTACCTTATTTAAAATACTCATTGACTAGTAAAAGACGAGTCAGGAACGCCGTTGGTACCGCTTTATAAATGCTGGTGCACTCAATCTTTTTTGTTTCTTTCCAATCGTTTTGCTCTCGATTGTGTCATGTTTTTTAGGTATCAGCCATTTATAGCTGTCTGAATTCAAGTGTCTATGTCGTGCCCTGTAAAAATACATTTACAGCCTCTTACATTTCAGTTACTTTTGAAATTGATTTAATATAAATGTCGAGTTCTTTTTGAATATTGTCAATACCCGGATTATTGATTTTTGTAAGATTTAAGTAAAGAGTTTTATACAAAATACGTTGGTAGTTCACGTGTTTAAAGGAATACAAGTCAAAGGATATATGGTGGTTTGGTGGTTTGATAAAAAGCAAGCAATTTTAACAATATTGTTGACGGCTAAAACTAGAATACATATATTGTCTGTATGGAATTCCATACAGATTAATTAACATTGACAAAATGGCTAGGTTTTAAAGAAGCGAAGTGCCCAATAATGATCATTTTATCATAAGAGTTATGCAATAGTAATACTAACATGGTACCAGAAGAATGTTACATTGGACGCAAACAGGCATAGAAGCCTCGGCTTCAAATGGTCTGCGAACACATCAATGTAATTTAGGAGTTAGTTATATGGTATGAACGCTTTTGTAAAGTACAGAGGTTTTTTTCAACGCTCGATTTAGTCACGGACTTGGGCAAAAAGCAGCCTTGGCTAGCGTAATGGTCCTACACGTGATCGTTACATATTAAGACTGCGTCCGGTTTTACAACGCTGTTTGAGGACAAAAGTAATGATTTGTTTTTCGTTTACTTATGTACAAGTGTACACAGAATACCGGCGTGAAACAACCACAGCGTTGTGTTTCGCCGTGTGAGTGAAGTTACTGGAGTTATCCTCTCCCAAACCCAAAAGCCCAAATTCCCATAAGGTCGGCAATGCACTGCAACTCCTTCGTGGTAGCGAGAGCCCATGGGCGGCAATGATTACTGACCATCAGGTAATCCATTTGCTCGATTACCGTCACAAGGGACTTAAAAATACAAGTGTTTGTAATAAGTCATATTTTTAATGTTAGTTGCATTTATCTAAATTTTATTTGTTGGTCCTTTGTTCCGCGGTCATTTTGTTACTGCGATTGGTGTAGACTAGGACGGCTAGTTCTGTTTTACTCATATACAGTAAACCATTACTCTGATATCACCCGTCTAGTCTGTAATTTAGACGATTCTAGATGTTTATTGCGATGACTAACCGTTTAATGGTTGACTACGGCCCACACAATTGCAATCGCCACTGTTTGACATAAAAATATATATTTTTTTATTATACGGCGCAAATTGTGTCGTAAAACCTCTATGGTTAGGTTTAGATTGATTTGACACCTTTTTGATTGCGATTTTGTTTAATAATGGGTCATATCAAAGTTATTTATGGATTTTTTTTATTGAACACAATATTCAGATGTAGTATACATATACTGTGTGTAATAACAAAATTATAAATATTTTCATTCGTTGCGTTTAACTTTTGAAGCCTTTCTTTACCTTCTTTTCGCCATGACATGCGAACATCTTTCTTTATTTAAATTTAAATATACTAAGCGAACGAAATTGTAGACTCAGTTGACTATTTTTGCTCCCATAATCATAAATTACTCGGAAAATATTTTCGTTACACAAATATAATACGTTTTCTCGTTTACTCTCGAACAGACATAAGTATTGGTTTTGCTTGACGTTCACATCTAAAAAGTCATTCTTTAACGTTATTGTTGTAGTAATGAGCTAACAAATCCGCCCCCAATAGCCGTACCTTCACACCTTTGCGACTATTTACGATTTTGTTACGATGTGTTCATTTTATTGAAATAGTTCATGCGACATTTGCAATTACGAAAATACTCACAAAGCTTTTTCAACGTTTCTTTCAGTTCAGTACTTAGGGTACTTATCATTATTTGCTTCAAGTGTAGGATGGAAATAAGTACCCAATTTGAAAGCAAAATATAAGCTCTCCTTTGTAAGTAATGAGGATGTGTGATACAAATTCCTTTTCGATGGCACTCATTGATTTGTCAGGTCTGTGTATTTGAGAGGATTGTCCTAATTGGAGCTTGTTACGGAAATATAAAGATATTTTATTGAAATTGTATAGATACGTGTATTACGCATACGTTGCATCACTGCCTTTATTACTGTCTATTTATTGTTTCCCAATTAGTTGTTTTCAATAGGTACGTTAAACACGTTTTCTTTGTTTTCAGGAGTGGTTTACAAGCAGAGGATCAACTTAATGGAATAAAAACAAAAGTGCTAAGGCGCTAATATAAAAACATTCGCGTATAGCAATTGTTAAAGAATCTAAATTGATTTGTCAATTAATCTCGTGTCCCACAACGAGCGTTGAGCTGCGCCGTTGTCAACACGTTGACATCGAGTCCGCGACGCGTCGCGCGCGGTCCTTAACCTGTCGCTGCAATAGTCGGTGCTCGCCAGAGTCACGTGACTCGGCCGGCCCGCCCAGCCACAGCCGTGGATAACCTCGGCCAGAGCCCCCTTCCGGTGAAGAGGCTGCACGAAGCGCTGCAGAGTGCGCAAGTGAAGCGCCAGCGGCTTTCCCCCCCATACCCCGCACCTCCCGCCTCTCTCCACCCCATCCACCAGCTCGCGGTGCACCAGCACATCAAAGTGCAGCAAAGCATAGTGCAGCAGAGCATCGTGCAGCAGCACCAGTTGAACCTGGCCCACCAGTCGCTGCAGAACCTGCAAGCGCAACAGAACCTGCAGGCTCAGCAGAGCTTACAGGCAGCCCAGAGCCTCCAGGCGGCTCAGAGTCTGCAGGCGGCGCAGAGCCCTGCAGCAACGGGCGGCGCAGGCGCGCAGCAGGCGGCAGGAGCGACACAAGGCGCGCTGGTGCCGCCGCAGCAGCCTTCGCCCCGGCCCGCTTCGCCGCAACACAAGAACATGGAGCTCGCGCTCTGTCAAAGCATGGACTCCGTCAACACCGCCACCACTGAGGAAGAGGTAAGTCTTTTCTTATCCATAAAAACAATTCGACTTGAATTTATTAACTTTTGTTAAAAAAACGGCAAGTTTAATTAATTGTAGCCAATTGTTACGACAACTGAATCCCTAATCCGGACCCTTTCTACCTGTCATTTTCACGGTTCCCGTGATATAACAATGGCGCCTAGGCCAAATTCCCCTTCCGAAGAGGACTTAATGTATCGTTTCGCATTGGCTATTTGTCATATTACAATTGTAAAGTAATGCCAAAGAGGTGCGGCTCCGCGGCTGTGACAATGGGGGAAAACGTTCGGATATACAATAAGCACTCGCTAACACAATAAAAGGGAATTTTCCTCGCGACAAAGGCGGCATCGATTCGAAAGATTAAATCACTCTCACCTATCATTATATTTTAGTCTTTATTAGTATGGAGTTAAAGATTATATTTAAAAATTGATATCGATATGATTGAAACGAGTATGGAATGTATTGCGTTTGGAGTCATATTAATATTGAAATCAGAATTGCATTTTTTGTAAAGATTTGATATTCAAAATGTTTTTGTCAATATATTCACCTAACGTTTTAAAATGTAATATTAAACAAGCGATGAAAAATAAATGTAGTTTTAAAAAATGCAAAGAATGTTGGTAATTAAAGATTGCACAAAGTTCAATCTCGTTGAAGTGAAGCTCGAGTGTTTCTAAACCATAACGTGAACGAAAAACAAAGTAACAAGCGCTACCCTAGAGAAAAAGCGATAAAATCCTTAACGCAAACTAGGAGGAGGCGACGCGACGAGAGAAGTGGCCAGCGGTTGTGTTATTCGAGACAAATAGAGTAGATGTCGCTTCACCGCTTTCAGCCGCTTCCCTGAACGGACAGCTTTATAAATAGCTTGTTTTATTGTTACATTATCTTGTCTTTTAGATCCTATGCATTAAAGCATGGACGGTAATCTCCAGTATAAGCAAGACAAATAAATGTTACTAAACTCGTAGGAATTTTGCACACAAATTCAAATAATTGAAGAGAATTGTTTATGTACTAGTAAGATAATTTCTGTAACAGCAATAGTACTCGGGTCGAAGCAATATGACATTTCTGTGTTCCAGATGCACCAATGTTTAGATTCCGTTGTATAATTTTATACCTGGCAAAAATAGCTAAATGGTCCGTACGACATTCTTGAGTATGAGTCGAAATGAGTGACTATGTGTAATATCAATGCAAACATTTATTTCGAGTTGTTTAATGTCAGTTGGTCCCGCGAATGTGTTACGTTATTGCTTTTTATAATTACACGCTTTAAAATCTTTCGAACATGCATTTTCACTCGTGTTTTATGATGCTTATAACCGTAAATCATTTCAAAAGTATTTCGATTCTCGTATTCCCGTCCTAAATTTTACCTAAATTTCCAATAATAACATAAAACCAGCTTTTTAACTGGAACTACGGCGAACTTGACTAACGTAGTTAAAAGTTCAACCTTTGTTCAGCACTTTTCGTGTAAATCCTTTTCATAATGAATCCGCCAAATAAATACTGTTGTCGGCGTCCAGTTTCCATTGTTTGGCAACTTAGTGTTGATTTCCCACTTCGCTTTGATGTGAGTCGGGTCGGCGGAGCGTAGATAGGTTGGTTTATGAACAGGGTCCTTTGCTTACATAGCGTGGATGCATTCATTCATGCGGTTCACTATCGCTCCCAACGAGTTACTATAGACAAAGTAACAAAATGTTTTAATGGCAGCATCGTTTTTACGTTATTTACGGATTAAATATTTGTCTCTTTTGTAGTGCAATTTTGGCACCATTCACTTGTCGCCTGTTGAATCTAATTGAATCAAAGAGTTTTAAGTAAAACAAGGTTACTTACTTAATATGTATGTTTTCTTTTGTTTTTCACTTGTGTCATAAAATTGCAATCGAGGTTCGACGCCGTTTCGTTTGTAATCTCGAGGGGTTACTGGGAACAAGGGGCAGTGGAGTGCGTTTGTCTGGTGGCGCATGGCGGCAGACAGTGAAACGAAGCGATGGCGCCGTCGGGTCTGTCGCCCGACACAGCCATCTATTTTTGTTTAACAATTGCGTATAATAAACTTTTATCTGACGATTTTTAATGCCAAATAGAGCGAAATGAGATCCTGTAACAAAATGTATTGATCTATTAAAACAGACCAAAAAGAAGAATAAAGAATATCTATAGTATCAACGCATTCTAAGCTTGCGGAGACTGTTCAGGGGTCATTTGATTTGAACCAAATGGTCGATAAAACTACACATAAAGCAGTGCCTTGTAATGTTAAGGTCCCTCACTACCACTTGTAAACTATAAACAAATCTCTGTACGAACGACGTCCCATAAAATCTTAGTTAGTGACTAAAACACTTATTGACTCGTGTTTTGTAAGCATGATGAATGCATCGATCGTTTTCGCATTGTATCCGGAGCGATCATGTGACAAGTCGAGTGATACGTCGGCTGCCGGCCCTCGCAGACAACATCGCTACGGCTTCCTGAAACCTGTAACTACTTTTTGTTCAACGGTTCGTTCACATTTTGTCCGCGAAAGTTAAGCGACGCCACAACTTCCCCGAACAAAACAGCCATAATATTTACAAATGCTAATGTACCAACGTATTTATTTTGAATGTTTGGGTTTCAATTGTTGTAGCACATTGTTAGTCGAGAAGATGCCACATTTATTTTGAACACAACGCATTTCATAATATGTGTAAGATAATTTTATAGTTAATAATCTTCATAAACTCTCAGATTGTGGATTTCAATCTAGGTAAGCATTTTCCGCGAAGTGCCAACTCCATAACAATAAATTTAATGAAAGGACACTCATAAACATTATTGTAGGCGACTATTTGTATTTTCCGTCGGCCGCGTCCGAGGAAAACAAAGCGACTTTTTCATTCCCGTAATATCTTTCATCGACAGTGGTCAAAGAGACTCGGTTTCTTTTAAATAATTGGGTAATTTCGATCTTGAGGCGTCAATTGGGCTCTCCAATTTAACTTTGTAAAAAAGATTTCCAATTTGTAACATTCTTTGTTTCGATAAAGTTTGTGCAGAGCTTTTTTTCTTATAAATTATTGTGTAGTTATCGATGTTGTTAGATAATGAAAAATAGTTTAATTCAATTTTAAACTTTAATAAGGTGAAGCCTTTTAGTCTTCCTTTCTTTGCTGAATATCGCGTTACACGTTACACATGAACCTCACTTACCAATTCGTTCGTGAGTGGTTTAGAAACGTTGCACGTTGCTTGCTTCGATCGCAGACCAATGTTTTTGTAATCTGAATCGCTAATGGCTCCAATTTCTTTCAAAGTGTAGTGTACATGAATTTGCAACATTATTATTACACAGGCTCCAAACTAACTACATTCACTCCTTGCCTATCCCCTGAACGCTCAATGAATTAGTCTCGTCTACCCTCAAACATCGGACAAAGCCCTCTTATTTACTCCGTATTTTCCGAAAACCTAAATCACTTAAGTAAATTTAGACAGATAAATTACTGAAGAACTACACAAAAGATAGAGACTTTTCAAGTACCACTGTAAATCTATTTCTACTACAATGCTTACGTACAAAGTGATAAATCTTTAACTATTCTATAACCTTTTTTATTAGTTAATATCCAAAATAATAGTTGATAGCTTAGCACATATTGACAAAATCCGATAACTTGTCGATACTTAAACTGGAAATAAACAAGTACTTAATATAGATAAATTTGAAAAGTCGAAAGGAAAGAAAATTCATATAGACGATATCGCTTTCGTTCTTGAAAATCCTTTAAGTATCTGCCAATAATACGCAGATCGAGGGAACATCTCCATGGGAACTGAAGAGAAAATTATTACCTCGCTCGAGTTCAATCGCGGAGACATTCCCTGGAACGATTTTAAGAGAAGAATTTTCGCAGAGTGGAATATAGACACCTCGACCGTTTCAACAGTTTGTCCACCTAATTTGTTCGTCGGCGCTCGACTGTAAAAACAAATAGCTGCTCCCGCATTTCCCCTTACAAAACGATAAAGATAGATATATTCAACTAAACGGGAGAAAAGGAGGGATAGTTTTCGAAGGATCGCGTCCGCGGGTCGCTTCAATGAACGTTTGGTGTTTACGTTCAAACTTTTCCTAGTTCAGTTGGGCGCAGCACGGAGTTTCTTTTGTCCATTAACAGAATAATCATTAATTGAGCTTTATCTAATGCTCGTAGGTTTGAGTACTCGCCGAAAACTTTTAATTGAATTTGTTGGTCGATTTTGGCTTTTTGACGGGAGCGTGTTACGGTTTTAAAACAATTTTTAGGTAATGCTTTGGTAAAGTTATTCAACCTGTTTGTGTAACTTCAGAGACCTGTCAAAGTTCTTGCTAAAATTGTTGGAACTTAGTTAATTCAAAATCTTTGATAATGAAGGTCACCGAAAGATGTTATTGCGAATTATAATATTAAAAAAATGAATATAGAACATAATTTGTGTGCCACAATAGTTTATCGGGAACGTAGACGAAGATTGTGAAACCGGCGTTTAGTCCGAATTAATGAAATATGTATAAAAATGAATCGCTGTTCGTTAGTCTCACTAAAACTCGAGAAAGGCTAGACCAACATGGCTTATTATGTTCATGAAATATTCTTGGATATGCAGGGGTAAAAAATAATATTAGTTATATTTGGGGTGGTACCTATAAAGTTTGCCGGGTCAGCTATTGTTTAAATACATTATGTTAGATTATCATAAATTTAATAATGATGAAGGTGACGACGATGGTAAATTCTTGTGGACATCCAAAAGTAGTAAGGTACACTTGTGACGGATGTAATCGCTGCTATAACTCAGTGATAACATTCGGAGACGACTACATGCACGACATCCCGGGCCTGTATAAATCAGAGCACATCAAGTAAGGTCAACTCCAGTTGAGTACACTGGACTGGCCAGGCAAACAGAGACGTTGCACGCTGAATAACTGTTTTCCAATG